TTATTTATTATCTTCATTATTTATTATCTTCATTAGTATTAGGGTACCTTAATACTAAGGTACCTTAATATTATATTACATATCACCTAATTTATATGGTGTATATTTATTAGATCTTTCATGAATGTAACTTATATTTAACTATATTTATTGAATGCATATTGATTGCTGAAATTGATCGTATTTGAAATTACATATAGTGGAGCTGGTTCTACTGTAGGTATGTCTACTTTCTTAGTGTATTAAAATGAAAATTGTGTATAATTTTCAATAAAAATAATGCTTGTGGTGTCACCAAGTTAAAGTCTCTGTTTCTCTCCCTCAGTTCACTAAAGTTTGGATTCATAGACGACTCCATTAGAAAGGTTCAGAAGACAAAAGCTGGTTTTTGAGAGAGTTTGTCTGCTTATCTGTTGACAGTCAATACTGATGGGAATAATGTAAAGTAATGTAAATGAACAGCTTTTGTGAACACTCCCAGGTTGCAAAGCAGTTTTGGGGAAAACTTTTAAAGGAGTTTTCTCAAAAAATATATTGGAGAGAAAATTCAAATGGCCATCTCTTTTTTCATTTTGTTTTGATTTCCAAGTGTTAGACATCACTGGAAATTTAAGAAGTTCAATTTTTAGAATTAGGAAATAACTCAAATCGCCCCTGGATAACCTTGTTTCTACTTTTGGTGTGGCCGGTCAAAAATGTGCGATTTCTCCTTCAGGTTAAATCTTTGTAGAAATCCTCTTACTGCTCTGCAGACGGTCAGCCAGCTCCTCCTGCTTCATCTTCCTCAGGAAGTTCAGGGTGATCTTCATCACCGCCTCTCTGCTGCTCCTCCTCTGCTCTTCATCATCACCTCTCAACACCTCTCTCTGACTCTCTGAGCATTCTGGGTAATCTGTACTCAGAACCTTCTGGATCTTCTTCAGCTCATTCTTCACAAAAGTGACAATGTTTTCCTCCAGCAGCTGGAACAGAATGAGAAGATATCAGACTAGATCTGAACATCAGGTCCATGTTGGACAGACTGACAGTCCTCTGGTCTACAAAGTGCAGCATGGAGACGATTGTGAACAGAACCATGGAAAAGTAGTTGTTGTTCATGTACAGACCATAAATATGGAGTCCAGCTGTGTTTGATGCTGCTGGGCAGACGGACCACTGGGAACCTCTGAGCTCTGCTGGTCCACTCTGTGGAGGAACCAGGAACAATCAGGAAGGCAGGAAATATTCATACAGCAGTTTTCATAGTTGATAAAACCACGGGCTTCATAGTAAAAATCCTTCAAACAGAAAAACAGAATAAGATGAACACAAACCAAAGAAGTTAAAAAGAGGAAGATGAACTAAAAGGATGAAGACCTACAACACCAGAATCACCCAGTAGATTTGAAAAAGTGGGACTTGAACTGGGATTTCAAACTGTTCAGACAGTCAGCAGATCTGATGCTGATGGAGACAAACAAGCTCACATGATGTCTGTCCTCACAGAGACAATCAGAAGGTCCATGAAGTAATATCTGGATGTGAACCTGATGATCCAAGTAGCTCCATCAACCCAGTTCTAAAATCCTTCCCCTGGCTTCCTGTAGCTCAGAGAATAAACTTTAACATATAACAGTTATGCACCACAAATCTGGAACAAACTTCAAGAAAACTGCAAAACAGCTGAAACACTGAGTTTCTTTACATCAAGGCTAAGCTCCCATTTATTTACAGCCGCTTTCAACACATAATCACTGGAACCGACCAACATATATGATGTTTACTGATGATGAAATGCAATGTATGTTATTGGTTTCTGAAATTAGTGAAGGTATGATGTTTTTATTACTTTGTGTTTTTTATGATTTAAAGCACTTTGATCTGAAATGTGCTACATAAATAAACTTGATTGATTGACTGAAGTCATTGTAAAGGTTTAATGTTCCTGCTGATCCCACTAACAACCAGCAGAACCTCTGGACCACTTCAGTTTTATTGAAATAAAGAAGTTTAACCAGGAGAGCCTTTAAAGAGTAGTTGGATGTGCAGCCAGCTGAGTTTGTCTTCATACAGCTGAAGCTGAAACCTGTCGACTTGTAGCTCTTCCCAAAGAGTCATCCAGCTGATCCAACTACTGAAACTGTCTTGGTCTCCAGACATCAGTTTGAATGTCAGTGAGTTTGTTCAACTCCCCATAAAAAGTAAGAGTGTTTTTAACTATTTGGCTTAAGATTGTTAAATAAAATAATTTCGTCATCTTTTTTATATATACAGTATTGTTTCTTGCTTAAGATTTGCTGACCTGGTGATCTTCTCATTGTGCTTTTTTTCTACGCTGGTTTAAAGCTTACATAAGTCTGAGATATTTTAACTTATAGGATAGTTTTTAATTTGGTTCTGCAAACATCCACTGGCTTCTTTCCTTCATTTTTACTTTCCTTCTTTATTTTCTCCTCCTCTGTTGAATTAGATTATGATCTAAAGTCTAGAACGAAGGAAGGAGGTCCAGATGTTCCTGTTGCTGCTTCACATGATTGATTTATTTGACCACTGAAGGTTGGTGACCAGCAGTTATATCAAATCAGATGTTATATGAGGAGAAACATGACATTTATTAACACTGAACTCAGTTACACAGTTACAGCAGGTAGAAACAGCTCACCTCTCTGACGGTGGAGGTCCAGGAGATTTAAAGTCAATGCTGTGACCCATTGACCTGTCGCTCTTTAAGGACACACAGCTGGGTTCTGGTTCTGGTTCTGGTTTAGCTTCATGTTGAAACCTGACAGAAAAACTCATTAAAAACCTTCTGTTGAGTTTTAATATAATAATTATGTTAATTATGACCAACTGTAAAACAAAGAGCTGTGAGACCCAACAGAACCAGACAGATCATCAACAGAACCGGTCCGATCCTCCAACATGTTCCTGATCATTGATCCTCCTGAATAATGTCCAGTCATCTGATTCTGAGACAAACATGTTGGTTTAAATGACTGAGGACAGTTTGGTGATGTTGGTGTTGAGCTCTGACATGAAGAAGAACCAGGAGTCGGTTCCCTCTGATCCAAGAGGTTCTGATGGAGCTTCATTCAGGTTTCACTGAACATAATTAACCAGAACCCTGGGTCAGTTCTACTGGACTTTTTGTAACTCATCTTTTTAAACAATGTAATTTATTTTACTGCATCAGTGACACTTTAATATTAACTTCTGCTGTGATGAAAGGAACAGTGGAAAAAGCTGGTAAACAGCAGAATATGAGAACAATAACCCTCCTGAACACAGTTTAACTTCTGAACACAAACAGTTTAAAGGGATAAATTATTTGTTGCCTGGAGGATTTCCTGCCTCCGTCTCTAGAGGCTGAAATCAGCAGCAGCTTCAGCACCACGTCTGATTGGGCCTGATGTAGTGAACGCTGTGTGAAAAGGGCTGTGGACACTTAGAGATGGTGACCTCACCTCTGACCTTTGCTCTGGCTCCCATCTTCCCCACACAGAGTGGTTTTAGAGGGAGGGACTCCCTCCTCTCTGTCCTCACACTGATCCATGCTGCTGAATTCACTTCAGCTCACACACACTTTCTGGCTTCACCTGCAGAGGAAACACACATCATTCATCAGCTCTGATCATCCTTTACATCATTAGAGCTGGAAAAAGACCAGCTGCTCCTCCTCTGATTGGCTCTTCTCTGCTTCATGTCAGTGTCAGTTGGATGCAGTCAGACAGCAGAGAGGCAGAGGAAGCTGCATCAGCTGCTGCACTTCTACCATCAGTCCACTAGATGGAGACACGGAGCTACATTTACATTCACTGATTCACTCTGAACATCAGAAACTAATTTATTTATTTGTCGTGTTACTGAAATTGTATTCAATCTGTAGATAATCGACTTCTCTTATCAAATATGAATTATTCAATAATTTACTTCTAGTCTTCGGCTAGTGTTAACCGGGTTGGAGTTTTGGACGCACCCATAAATGGTGGAGACCAGAGTTTGATTCCAGGGGGAAAAAATATGGCGCAGTTTGTTCAAAGAAGAAAACAAGAAACATCGGCTATTCATCATGTTGTTTGATTCCAGTTCATCAATAATCTAATAATCATGTAGTTTAATCTGCAACAATCAGAGAGATTAAAGTTTGAGCTGAAATCAGAAGTGAACATTTTCTCCAAATCAGAGAGAAACAAGCAGGAAAGTTCCTGAAGACAAAGTTCAAGTAGGAAACAAAACAAACTTGCAGTTTATTCAAACGGTCCAAAGAGTTGAAGATAATCTGAACAGACTGAGATCCAACAGAACCACGATAGAACCGGACTGGAGCCTCACTTAAACAACGCGAGGTCAAACTGGAAGTAAAAGTTGTGTAACTGATGACGTCTCCTCTTTGGCCCGGTGTTATGGATTAACTGGTGGACAAATTAAGTGGCTGAAACCTCTGCGCACCGCAGATGTTTCTAAATTGTAGGTAGCTGCGTCAATGCCTGTTGAAAAATGCTACCCGTGTGACAAAACCGTTTTCAAAATTTTACTAAAATCCCATTTGACGCATATGTGTTTAATGTTACATGTGAAAATTATGTTTCAAAACAAGTTTCTACAGAGCAGCGTTCAGTGCGCTTCGAAAATACCGCTTCTTTTTTTTCAAGTTTATTTGATAGGGACAGACACACATTGACATGGACAAACTGAATAAAACATCTTCCCATGTTTGCATCATGGTGCAATAGCAAG